TTAACTAAAATGTACCACCTACAGAAACTTTTACAGAAAAAAGCAAAATTTATTTCGAATAATTCATGTGAAACAACCTTTAATAAATTAAAAGAGGAAATTGTGAGAGATCAAGTTTTGATGCCATATGGTCCAAGTTTGCCCGTAATATTAGCTTGTGATGCAAGTCCAACTGGTGTTGCAGGGGTACTCATGTTATTGATGTTACAGAAAGGCCTATCGCATTTGCTTCAAGATCTCTTACCAAATGTGAACAAAATTATGGTCAATTAGACAGAGAAGCACTAGTAATTAGTTTTTCAGTAAATAACTTCTTCATGTATCTTTTTGGGAGTAAGTTTGGACTCACCACTGATAAAAGTCCTCTGACGAGAATTCAAGTTACCTTTAATGACTTCTGCTAGACTACTTCGATATGCATCATTTGAGGATTTGATTACGAAGTTGAATACAGAAAATCTTCTGACCACGTAACCTCAACTGTTTTTCTAGAGCTTCTTTTAATCAACCTTCATCTTCTCTCGGAAAATGCTTAACGAAGAAATTAAATTTATCTGCCATGAATTAATAAAAGAAATTTCAACATCGATCTAACCTAGCAAGTATATCAACCAAAAGTAGATGACTAATTAAATACTAGATTTTAAAGAAATGATAAGACAATAACATAGTTAAAGAATATAAAAAATAAATACAAAGAACAAAGAAAGAATGGTTTTCTCAAGAGTACAAAAAAGTAGCAGAATGTTATCAAAAGCATAATATTATATTCCATCTTCACAAAACAGATCAGAAAATCAACCACCTAGTACAAGAAAGTTAAATTTGGGAGAGAGCACAAGTAAGGTATTACCAAGGAAACATGAAACTTTGGCACAATTGTTAGAGTATGGATTGTTACATTACAAAGTCCAACTTGATGATGGCTATTGTTTAAAACGTCATATTGACCAAATTCGTAAAACCATGGTACCTAAACATAATGTAACCTTTGTAAACAAACCATTAGTAATTCTTTATCATCAGCCACAATATTATCAAGAATGTCTCCCACATCTTCTCCCGCCTATCCAAATTTCAGTTCCTTTAGTCAATTCACATCCAAACCCGATCAATGAAAATGTAGATCCAGTGATAAAACCTGATAATACGGTACCCATTAATGAGCCAGCTGCATTATCTAATCCTTTTGTATTTTTATGTTGGAAACGCAAAATAGCGTGTGAAACTATAATCAGAGTACTACGAACGCAATAATATCCTCCTTTATCATAGGATCTTCCTGCACTGTTATATTTCATTATGTCAGATGAATAAAGTCTTCTTAAAGTACTGGAGAGTATTAAGAAATGCCTTTACGGTCTTGAGCTCAATGAAGGGAAACTCCCAATCTGCACCTCCACGTGGTAGAAGATGGGCAACACTTAAGTAATTAGCTTAGGTGGCTGACGCAGATGGGGACCGAGTGTTTGCCGGTATAAGCATTCAACGTTATTCTTAATAATAACGCAAGGGCACCCTCTTGTCCTGGGGAGGAGAAATCGTCCCCGAAGGCGGATGAACGATATCGCGTCGTCAACGGCATAGGATGCGAAGGCAAGTGGGAAACCATCGCATCAAATTCCCAAGATAGTTAATATGGCAAGTCAAAATCAATACATGGCCCCTAGTGCCCGGCAGGCGTTCAATCGTCAAGGGGTGCTAAGAATCCCCGGGAGGAAACTTAAAATTGCTACGTGGAATGTTAAGACATTGTATAGAGCAGGCAAATTAGCAAACGCTGAAAACGAGATGAGAGGAATGAAGTGGGACATACTTGGTATGTGTGAGGTGGGATGGAAAGGAGAAGGATATGTGGATACAATAAATGGAAACCGATTCTATTATGCAGGCAAAGATGATGATGCCCAATCAGGTATAGGAGTGCTGGTAACAGCATCCATGAAACAACACACGAAGGGTTTTCTACCAGTCAGCGACAGAGTAATGATCATCAAATTAAATGGACAACCATTTGACATTAATATAATACAGGTATACGCCCCGACAGCACAGATGCAGATCTTGAGATTTTCTAATCCGATATTGAAAAGATTTAAGACACATAAAATCAGATGACATCAACATATTTATGGGAGATTGGAATGCGAAGGTAGGAGCAGAAAAGGTCGAATCGATCATCGGTCCATACGGTTTAGGAACGAGGAATGAACGAGGCACACGCTTTGTTGAATTTTGCCAAGAGAACAACTTGGTGGTTCTTAACACATGGTTTAAATTACCAAAAAGACGTCTGTATACGTGGAGGTCTCCTCAAGATTGCGAAGAAAATATTGTGAGGAACCAAATCGACTACATTACAATTAATAAAAGGTTCCGTAATGGTATTCTAAATGTAAAAACGTACCCAAGCTGTGACATAAATTCAGACCACAATCCTGTAGTTGCAACTGTCAGAATAAAACTTAATAAAGACTAACTCTTAATAAAGAGTAGGAAAGGCTAAACCCAGTCAGAGAGTAGCATGGAGTAGTGCTGACCAGGGACAAAAACATATTATGTATAAAGACATGGTGGACACGCAGTTAGAGTCTAAGACATTAGCTCCCACTAAAGAGAAGACAAAAGAAAACATTGAAGACATATGGGGAAAAATTAAAAATACTGTCCTGGAGGCAGCAAACCAAAATATACAGAAAGAAAACCGTAAACAAATAAAACCATGGATGACAAACGAAATATTACAAATTATGGAGAGGAGACGGATGGTAAAAAATAAAAACCTAACAAGATACAAAGAGCTTAACAGGGAAATTGAGAGAAAGATAAATGTAACTAAGGAAGAGTGGATGAAAGAAAAATGTAAAGAGGTAGAAGATCTGCAAAGGAAGCATAAAGATAAAGATTTACTCAAAAAGGTGAAAGAAGTCGCTGGGATATAGAAACCCAAACATTTATCTATTGTAACAAACACGAAAAACCAAATGGAATTAGACCCTGAAAAACAGAAGGAAATATGGGAACAATACCTTAAAGATTTGTTTGGTGATCGGAGAGCAGAAGGGTCCCCACAAATAGATACCGATGGAAAACTAAGTATTCTAACCGAAGAAGTTATGCGGGCAATAAAAGACGCAAAGAACAACAAGGCACCCGGCGAAGATCTAACAACAGCCGAACATTTTAAACACCTGAGTGATGATGCTGTCGGGAAATTAACCTACCTCTTTAATATTATATATGAACATGGCACTCTACCGCATGACTGGCTAATATCCACATATGTAGCTCTTCCTAAAAAACAAAAAGCAAGGAAATGTGAAGACCATCGAACTGTATCCCTAATGAGTCATGCTGCTAAGATTTTTATGCGAGTAATTTATAACCGCATTCACAATAAGTGTGAAGAATACCTGAGTCGTTCTCAATATGGTTTTAGGAAAGGTACAGGCACCAGAGAAGCAATAATGGGATTGACACTAATGGCAGAAAGGTATCTCGAGGTTCAAAAACAGCTGTATGTGTGCTTTGTCGATTATAGAAAAGCCTTCGACCGCATTAGACACGAAAAATTGATTGAGGTGATAAAAGAAGTAGGGCTGGACGGACACGACATAGCTATAATAAGTAATACATACTGGAACCACACAGGATGTGTTCGAACAGACAACGGAAATACCAATTATGTAAACATAGAACGAGGAGTGCGTCAAGGGTGCATAAGATATGCCGATGACGCCGTAGTATTAGCAGAAACAGAAGACCAACTAAAAATATTGATGAACATAATATCAGAAGAAAGTCACAGACTAGGTTTGGATATTAATCTTTCCAAAACCAAAATCATGGTATTCCACAAGAACCCCCAACATACAAATTACACCCAACATACAAATCAATGGTATCACCCTTCACAGCTCCCAAAGCTTCATATACCTGGGCAGAGAGCTAAACAGTCAGCTAGACCACTCAAAAGAAAGTAGAAGACGTATTGAAATAGCAAGATCTGGCTTCATGAACATGCGTAAAATGCTCTGTAACCCCAAGCTATCAATCATAATAAGGTTAAGAACACTAAAGTGTTATGTGTGGTCTCTACTACTATATGGCTGTGAGACCTGGACATTAAAACAGTATGACGTCAACAAACTGAATTCATTCGAAATGTGGATGTACCGCCGAATGCTAAGAATAAGCTGGACCAGCTAAACTACAAATGAAGAGGTACTGGAAATAATGAACACACGACCTCATCTGGTTAATACAATCAAAATTAGAAAGACGTCATATCTAGGACACATAATGCGCCATAAGGAATTTGAGCAGCTCCAGGTAATATTAGAAGGCAAAATCGAGGGTAAAAGGGGTATAGGAAGAAAGAAGAAATCCTGGCTCCAAAACATCAGAGATTTGACTCACACAACAGGAAATGACTTAATCCATCAAGCCCAGAACAGAGAGAAATTTGCCATATTGATCGCCAACCTCAATAGAGAAGGCACTTAGGAGGAGGAGGAGATGAATAAAAAAAACTAAAATTTTACAAGTGCTAATAAATCAGAGGATAAGTTTAGCAGATGGACAACAGCTGCCAATACTGATGACATCAGTATTAAACAATGGAAAATCACCAATCGGCAGAAGTATCGGACGCCCACGCTAAAGATGGAGTGACAACCTTCCATAGAGGTATAAATCCGCCAATGAACAAGCAGAATTGATTAAGAGGAAGAAGTTAATATTTGTCATAATATGACAAATATATAAAAATATATAGACAATAGTCTATTTTAGATAGAATAGACAAGAAAATTAAAATTAATGCACTCAATGACCAGACATTGATAAAAATTTCCAGGGGAAAAATAATATTGGATATTGGATGCAACTAAAGGACTAAATGGAGAAAATTGCTGTAGGCCAGACCATAATTCAGAAAAAAATGCTTAGAACAATGTCATGAGGAGGATTACCTTAAGGTTTAAGATATATAATAAACATTAAATTCTTAAAATGTAATTTTTATTAAATTATTTTGACCAAGACTATTACACTGAAACACAGATCGAGAAAAGGACTAACTAATTCAAATATCTAAGATATTAACTTACACAGCTTACAAACTAAAAGATATTATTGTGCGCCCACCAATCCACAAAAACATGTAAATAACTGTCAATGCTAACTACCTTTCACCACTCAATTTGGAGATAGAATCATTATGAAACTAGATGTATTTCCACAACAACCAATATGGTACTTTCTTTGTACTTTGAGGTTAACAGTGTTGCCATAGGCAATGATTATGTATAATTTTTAATTTTAAAAGCCAAAATATAAAAAAACAATTCAGTCTGGTTGAAGGGAAACATCTAGTCCCTCAAGTATTATCTGTTGACAATAAAACCACAAAAATTGGTCTATATAAATTTAACCAGCCAAATTTGGCAGTGTAGGTGAGTTAGTGTTTCTAATGGCACAAAGACACATACGGAATGATATTTTTGCTATACAATAATAAACCAAAGTTATTAAAAATATTTTCAACGACATATTTGTAAGATTGGCGCCCAAATACATGGGTGCGGCAAAAATCAAAACTTATTTAAGACTTAACATTTAATCATCATCTTCTTCCTCTTCTCCAGCATCATTGTCGTCATTATCTTCATCTCCTGAGTCCTTGGGTTCCTCTTTCTTCTTTGGTCTGCCACGGCCTCGTGCTAAAAAAATAAATTATAACACAATTTTTTTTTATTGTTAAATATAACATAAAACAGATAAAAACTTATCAGCAAATCAGTAATTCTTCCTATTGGGTGAATAACATCTCAGCATTGAATGAAAACAACTTCAAAGAAAAGGTATAGGGTGTAAGTTATATGGAAATAGTCCAAAATAAAATTATGGTTTTATATAAGGCTACATATTCAAAACAATGTAAAAAATACTTACATGCTCCAGCAGATTTGCCTTTGGGTTTGACTGGGCTCTTCTTTTTTGTGGTTCCCTTTGGCCTGCCTCTACCCCTCTTTGCAGGTGATGCATCGTCATCATCTACTTCCTAAAACAATTAAAAATATATGATGATAAAGAATACCACAGAAAGTAAGAAAGCCCAAAAAACGTAAATTGACATTATTTTAATAAAAAAACTTACTTTCTTTCCCCTCTTTTTTGTGTCGTTCTTCTCTGCTTTTTCTACTTTTTCAGCTTTTTCTGCATTAGCTTTGCGTCCTCGCTTTGAAGGTGTTGTAGCTGCGTCATCAGACATGGTTGATTTGTTGATTTATGTAAAATAGAACTAAAAGAAGAATTAAAAGTTTAAATAGAACTTATTTCACAAAATAAAAAAAATTGTTAATATTAGTTTTTAAAGTGTAAGTACACATAAAATACAAATATCTAAATAGTATTTAATAACATTAACAATTTTTGACATAATTAGAATATTCCAACAGATAAACTTCTATGAATCAATGAAAAACATGACAGCATATACTTACTAAAGTACAAACAGAAACAACCAATGGAATGATTTTAAAGAAATAATGACCAATTATTGTGATCATTAGGTGAGAATTTACAAGGATTTTCAAGAGAAAAAATTTTAAACTCATGGGACACTAAAAGAAAACCTTTTTGAAAATGCATGTAAAAGAATAATTTTAGGAAGAAGTTTATCAGAAGAAATACAAAGCATGTTTATAAATATTTAATATTGAATCAGAATACACTTATATAATTAGAATATGGAAAAAAATTGAAGGGACAACTAAAGTATACCCCACACATAAATATGTGTAATTGCCCATTACTGATTGCAGATTACTAATTTTATCACTCAATTGGAATCTTCAAACATCTGGAGAACCCTTGCATATTAGTGTAGCTCAATTTTTACAAGAGTGACATTTTTTAAACTACATCTCTTTCCTATCCAAAGAATCTAAAATCATGGAATTTGGTCACTGGTCTGTTCATAATAGCCATCGAGCAAAAAGACAAAAGAGGGAATGTAAAGGTAGTGGGGGCAAAAATATTGTTAGACAGAAAGTGTGATCTTTAGAGGCCACATTAAACAAGGAAAGAGAGTCTCTCTCCTTGTTTGACATCAAAAATTTAGTTGGGTTTGTTATTGTTTGTCCCAAATGTCACATGAAATCTTATTTATATTGAAGTTTTTTAACAATTGTGTCGCATTTTAGACTATTATCGTTAATAATTAATTAAAACTTTCTCGCCTAAGACACATTCTGAAAAATATACAGCTACTGTTAATAAGTGTCTGAAAATTTAAATTTGGCGCATTCGCATTTCCGGATATATCCGCAATCAGAGGCCACTTTTTTGGTCTCCTTTTCATAAGGATTAGATTCCCTCTTTTGTCTTTTTACTCGATGATAATAGCACAGCAGGCGAAGGACCATTGATATCAGGAATTTAAGTTTTAACAATTTTAAAATGACAATGTTCTTGTTTATAACTAATTTGGAGTCTAGGGAACATTGAGCTAAAGGTTGCTACAAATGATGCATGACAGAACAAGATATTAGTGTTTGGCGGTATTAAAATTTACATTAAAAATGAAACATATGCAATCAATAGCAATAAGATGTAAAAAAATAGTAGTTTAGAATTATCAAAAAAGAAAAGGTAGAGAGTTATTAAAACAGTTTTAAAGCAATAATTGGTAAAATTTCAGTATAAATAATACAGTTAAAAAGATATCTGATGCAATCTAGCAACTGTTGATTTGAGGATTGAAAAATCTATTAGCTAATATCTCAAAGTGCTAGTGCCAAAAAAAAATCTAATAATTAACTGCAATTAATACTGAAAGAAACAAATATTTATCCATTTGTGTTTTATATAAATTAAAATCTGCAGAATCCATAAAATAATAAAAACGTACTGTTTCAACTTTCTCTGTGTATATTTGAGGAATGTGACATTAAATGATGATTAAAAAGGGAAAGAGGAGAAGAAAAGGATGAAAAACAAAAAATTCGAGCACTAAACATTTCAGACACCTGCAAATGTTAAGAGTGTCAATGCTTTTTAAATGCATTTTATGCGTTTTAAATTTAAACGGGGAATCAAAGAATGCATTATTACCGAGGGTCAAAACTAACTGAAAACTTCTGTAATGTTTATTTTAATAAGTTACAGGGGTGAAAAAAAAAAAGAAAATTTAGTATGATTTTTAATTTTAAAGATCTCATTCAAAAGCTTTTTGTTTATTTTAAGGGACTTTCGACCCTCGGTAATAATGTCATCTTTCATTCTGCATTTAAATTTTTCAAAAATATTTGTTAGTTTTCTCAGGATTCGAAAAAAAAATGAATGCATTTAAAAAGCATTGGCCTGAAATTTTGCGCCTATGCTCTTAATGTTTGAATATAAAAAAAATAGTAACAGCAATATAATTTTGTCCTAAACGGTCATAAAAACATATTTTATTGGAAAACAAACGAAAAGTTATATTGATGAGTTCTAGATTTATAAGATCGGGTTTTTCTGTTTGATTCCGTTTGATTTTACTGAAGTAAATTTTGGAATCTCTGGCAACAAAAAACACCTGTATTCTGCCTGCCAGGTATATTATATTTTTGTTTTTTTTTGTGAAGCATATCAGGGGCAATTATACTCTTGGGGTAATAATTGGGTGGAATTGAATTAATATTGCCCAATTGACACATTTCACACAAAAATCCTTAGAAAGCTTCCTGTTCAGTAGGTTCCTTAGGTTTTTGGGCAGTAGACTATGTCACAATTAGTGAAACTAATTGTAAATGGGCAACAAAACTCCATGTGGAAACCAAATATATTTTCTTCAGTATATAGATTGATGTACTTTTAATTTAAATTAGACTAAATTTAGTTAATGCTTTATGTTTTAAACAGTGCTCAGACTGAACAAATAAGGTAGAAGTGACTAAGTGCACAGATGTTGGTTAAGTCAATCGCATAGTCATGACTAGCAGAACAAATAAATTATTTTGGATATTATCAAAAAAGTAATATTCGAGTGGTTATACATGAAATAATGGCAGGAGACACACAAAAAGTACTTGAAGTTAAATGGTATGGAAGAAACAATATTTTTAATTCCAAATAAAATGTAATCTTAGTCTTTTATTATTTGAAGACCTAGTAACTGGAAAAAGTAATCAATAATAATCATTGCACCCCCTATGGAGGTAAACTTCCTCTTATGGGATTAAGAACAAAATCAGTCAACTTATTAAGAAAATTAATTGATAATCAATGTAGTCAATAACTAAGCAACGCCATCTTCACAGAGGCACATAAAAAAAAGAATTTTCATTTCTAGGACTTGCGCTATTAAGGGTAACAACAAGAACGACGTCATGTGATCCAGCGAAGTTGAGTCTTCCTCTTCACTTCATCTACCTACCAAAATTTTCGCTCTCATATGTCGCTCTAATAATATGCCCACAATATTGACAATAATTATTGTGAAGCTTTTTGGATCAAAGTGATTGTGACTAACCTTGAGCGTCTGAAAAACACCGACGCAAAATCAGAAACTATGGTCATCAAAATATGTTTTAATTTTAACAAGTAATAGAGTCAACAACCCCATGGCCTTCAATTAACAAAGCTCTGCAACTTTATCAAAAAAACTGTTTACATTTCCGGAAATTTTAAATTAATCAATAAACACTTGAAACTTTTGTGGTAATTATTTTTAGATCCAATTATACGCTGATAACAAGAACAAATTTATTGACGATGATTTTATTTAACAAAACTTCACAGAATGGATACTCAGTCCAAATATTTGTTCAAAAAATTCGACGCCGTAAGCGCGCCATTCTCAAATGCTTAAAATAATACAATATTAAAATTCTATGCCAACACCCAAATATTTTTAGAATAAAATGCCCATTATACGTCCCAAAACGCGATACTAAAGTATAAAAGAAAAAATTAGCTACAATTTCGAACAAAAATCGCCTAAAAACCGCCTATACTTACAGAGGAATTAATTTTCGAAGTCGTGAAATGAGTTTAGTTGGCTTTGATAGTGAATTTTGGTCGGCCATGGCAGGCAAAATAAATAGCTTTATTACACTTGGAAATTAATTGCTCTAAAACCATACTACACACTACAAAACCACTTGCGCAGTTAATTAGGGTAAAAAAACTAATATTTGCTAGTAATTTTGTACAAAACCAAATAAATTCCTATGATTTTATATTAAATATTGAAGAGATAAATAAAATCGACTTACCAAACACACACGCTAGCTGGCTATGCCGATTGTTCCAAAGCGTTCCGATGAGGTCGCTTTTGCTACCCGCCAAAACCACCCGACCAATCACGAGACTTCGTTCTCAAATAAACAAATCATTGTCCTTTTCTAATCTCAACCGTTTTTCTTTTCAAATTGTATTTTATTTATTTTTAATTCCCTTCCAAGAATTCGTTACTTATAGCTTGTAACCAAACTACTCTTTTAATGATTACAAACAATAAAAATAAGTTTTTTATTCAGACAGTTATCTTGGTGAACAAAAAATCGATAGGGCTGTAACTGTAAAGAATTTGACTACAAGACAAAGATACAGTATGAGTCATTATCTTGTTTATAATTAGGTTATATTCATATTTTTTTATGTGTACATTTTTTGTAAACATAAAATGTTTCTCATATACTTGTTTTAATCAATCAATAATAAATGGGAGATGGAACATAAAGTAAGCGATAAGAGTGCGATAAAAGATACTACAGAAGAGTCGACTGTGTTTTTTAATATCATTTAGTATTTAAGATTAAGATTAGCATTGTAAAATTTAAAATCGGGACATATTAGTATCTGCTCAAAAAGCATTCACCATAATTGCATTTATCATTATTCTGGGTTACAATTTTATTAAAAATATGGCCGCTCTCAACCAATTTTCATATCAACTAGATGCAGAGAGCAGAGACGTACTTAGCCCAAGTTAGGTTGGATTAATGATACTGAGCCCAAGGGGCTTTTGCTCATGCAATACAAAATGACAGTATCTAAGAAGGATTATGATATTTTTTCTAATTTACGTCAATAATTTAGGGATTATTACAAAATATGTCATCAGATTCATCTAAATAATTTACAAACTTCTATGTATGATAAAAAAGATTTTTGGAATTATGTAAATAAAAAAATTTTTTTGATTTGCCAAACACAATGAAATATGAGAATATAACTTCTGATAATTACTAGACCTATAAACTAAATATCTCTAAAACTATATCTAAAATTTCAGTTCGATGTTTTTATTGACTTTTGCTCAGTATGTTACTCCACAATATTGTTTTAATTTTTGTTTCTGTTCTACTACTGTTTAATTACGTAGACAGAAAACAAAGAAGTATGTTTAAGATTTCTTTACGAATTTTCAAAATCTCCACTAAATAAAAATAATACATGAGTAATCGCTAAAATACAGCCTTAGCTTACATTATAATACTGTAGAAAACCTTTCATAAAAAAACGTACGATTAAATTTCTACTTTCATTCATCACTCAAATCATATAGTTAGCTAAAATTATAGGTGAAACTGGAATCCTAAAAACCAACTTCAATAAAAAAAGGATGGATTATTGCAAACATATCGATGCCAACGAGAGAGGCAGAAAGGTTTCCTTGGGAAGACTCAGTTTTCGAATACAATTTAATATTTACCAATAATCATATAACTATGAAATGGAAATTAACTTTATAATTATTCTAAATTTACCTACTCTACTATAAAGATAAATACATAAACCAATCCGATAACTATTTTCTATTTCTGTATTTATTAAATGGTATTTTATTCTACTGGTCAAATGATACTGTAAAACAAGAAATAACCAGTGTATTAGAACAAAAAATAAAGTTGATATCAATCAAAGATAAAAGTAAAGAGGAAAACTTACTGAGAGTTAAAGATATATTAAAGACCGGTTAAGAAACAAAATTACAAGAGGATTCACGCCATCGAGCAAAAAGACGGAATCTAATCGTTATGAAAAGGAGACCAAAAAAGTGGCCTCTGATGGCGGACATATCCGGAAATGTGAATGCGCCAAATTTAAAGTAGCTATAAAATATTTTTCAGAATAAGTCTTAGACGAGAAAGTTTTAATTAAATAATAACGATAATAGTCTAAAATGTGACACAATTGTTAAAAAACTTCAATAGATAATATAAATAAGATTTCATGTGACAGTTGAGACAAACAATAACATCAGCAATAACATAATCCAACTAAATTTGATTTCTTAAACAAGGAAAGGCTCTCTTTCCTTGTTTAATGTGGCCTCTCCTGTCTAACAATATTTTTGCCCCCACTACGTTTACATTGCGAAAACACAATTTTATATTAAAGAGTGCAATAAAATTGAACAATATGAAAAGAAACACGATATATTTCATCTACATAAGAAAAAAATCAAACGGAAACAACTATCCCAAAGTTTAGAAGATAAAAACGGACACAGAGTATTATATATCAAAACAAAAGAATGGAAAAACGACATTTCTGAATTATGTGAATATGAAAGAGTGGAACACTATACACTGATTGCTAAATAAAAGAAAGTGAGGTTACATGGGCAACATAAATGGCAAAAAATGAAAAAGCAATTTGCCTCGATGAAGTAAGTGCTGAAATACTACAGTTTTTGGGAGAAAATGAAATTAAACCACTGTGTGGTCTTTTTAACAGAATTTATGACACTGGGATATTACCAACTGATTGGCTTAAGTCGACAATTTGTTACAATATTAAAGAAACATCGTGCAAAGACATGCAGTGATTATCAGACAATGAGTCTGATGAGTAACGTCTTGAAGATCTTGCTGCGAGTAATACATAGCAGAATATAGAAGACTTTATAGAAGAAAATTATCAATACTCAATTCGGATTTAGGAGTAGCTTGGGTACGAGAGAACCTTTGTTCAGTATCCAAGTTCTGATCCAGATATGCAGAGATATAAATCAAAATGTATACATCTGTGCAATCAATTTTTGAAAAAGCTTTTGACAAGGTCCGACATACTAAAAAGCTAGAAATATTGAAAACAGCTGGATTTGACGATAAAGATTTACGAATAATTACAAATCTATACGGACATCAAGTGACAAGAATAAAAGTTGAACAAGAACTGTCAGATGAAATAAATATAAAAAAGGGGTTGGACAAAACTTTATACTGTCGCCTTTACTTTTTAATTGTATTCAGAAGAAATATTTAAGGAATCCCTAATGGAGACAACATAAGGTATTATTGTTGATGGTGTAACCGTAAACAATGTTAGATATGCTGACGATACCTTAGTACTGGCTAATTGGGGAGAAGACCTTCAAAATCTAATGAACAAAATAAAACAAACATGTGATCAGTACTCAAAGTTAAGAAAACTAAATATATGATAGAAAACAAAACTATATAGAGGATGACGGTATAAAAGCCGAAGATGCCGCAATGGAAGAGTAGAGAAACTCGTGTATCTCGGCAGGAATATCAATGTCAGCTGGAATCCAACCGTAGAAACTAAAAGCCGTATAGAACAAGCCCGAGTCACTTTTGTAAAAATGAGGAACGTACTTTGCAGCCACGATCTTAGCATTGACCTTCGCGTTCGAATGGCATACTGTCAATGGAAGTATGGACTCTAAATGGAGTGATGCTTTTACGAATTGAAGCCTTTAGAATGTGATTATATAAACGACTGCTACGAATAAGTAGAGGTCCTTAGATGCCTGAAACAAACAACACAAATGGTCAGTATAATAATGAGATACAAGCTGGAAATACTTCGGTCACATTATGAGAGACCCTGAAAACATGAACTTTTACATCTGATCATTCAGGAAAAGGTCGAAGGTAGACTACATCATTTTTTAGATCTGTTTTCATTAAAGTCACGATAGCGAATATGGTAGCCAACATGATATCCAACGATCGATAACGATCATGGAACTAAAATAACATTTATTAGTTTTACACATTCTTAAACGAATCAAAGTAAAAAAACATAAACATACCTTACAAAAAAAATGAGTGTCGGTGTATGAGTATCACCTCCCAAATCATTAGCTACTGACAAGTAGCATTAGTCTACGTAGTAACTTCGTTTTCAAGACGAGCAGACGATTTGTGTCTGCTTTGGAGATGGTCCATGTTTCTGACTCTTGTGTCAGCATTGGTAGGATGAGTGTTCTGTATAGTGTTAATTTAGTTTTTTGGCTTAAATTTTTGTTTTTTAGCTGCCTATTTAATCAAAAATAATATTTGTTCGCTATCAGTACCCTTCGTTTTACTTTGTTAGATGTGTCATTATTGCTTGTTATGAGAAAACTCGGATAGGGAAACTTATTCACTACCTCAAAATGATACTGGTCTATGCTAAAGTTTTTTTCAGCTAACAGATTATCAGTATTAATACACAACACCAAATTTTCCTGAAATACAAATAATTCATAAATAAAACACAGGCGAAAAATGTTCATCATCATCATTGGCTCCACAACCCATGGTGGGTCTTGGCCTGCTCAAGGATAAGTCTCCATTCTCTCCTATTCTTCGCCTTGACCTTCCAGTTTCGTACTCCCAACTCTTCAAGTTTTCCTCCACCTGATCCTTAAATCGTTCTCTGGGTCTGCCTCCCCTTCTCACTCCATCTATTCTTTGATTATAAATATGTTTTGGTGGCTCCATCCATTCATTCTCTCTATGTGACTTAACCACCGCAGCCGGTTTATTTTGATGGACCCAACAATATTAGGTTTGTCATACAGGCGGTAAAGTTCGAAATTATAGCGTCTGAGCCATAATCCGCCCTCCTGTACTCCTCCATAGATATGCCGGAGGATTTTACGCTCAAAGCATCTTAAAGGTTCTTCATCGCTCTTTGTCATCGTCCATGTTTCTGACGCGTATGTGATAATGGGCTTGATAAGAGTTCTGTATATTACTAGTTTCTTTCTTTTTGTAAGTGGGCTTGTTGTTAAAAAAATTTTAATCCATAATAGGCCGAAAAATTTTGCTTCTGTAAATAAAGATATCATAAACTCCTTTATTTTTCGGCATATATTTAGTGCAATTTTTAAAATATTCAATTAAACACCTTTTTTGTAACACATTCAATTTAATAGCATATCTAACTAAAATACATTCTTTTATTCTATACATTCTATACTATTTTATATATTCTTTTATATCTCATTATTTATAATAATAAAGCTATTCTGATCTTAAATGCGACAGCTCTGAATATTTCTTCCAATACTTCTCCTGCCCTGGATCTTCGATGATGTAGCACAGGTA